CTCCTCCTCCTCCTCCTCCTCCTCCTCCCTCAGCAGGGCGGCGGGTGATGGGGGTGACCCGCCTCCTCTGCTGGAGCTGGCTGCGCCCCGACAGGGCTCTTGCGGGGCCCGGCGTGAGCATCCCTCGTCCAGGCCGGGCCGGTCCCGGTCTTCGGAGCCTCAGAGGGGAGGCAGCGATCCCCAGAGCCTCTGCTGTGGGAGCCAGCATCTCATCCCTTCCGAGGACCTTCACTCCGGGTCCTGCGTCCCGTCTCAGCATTATCTCTGCAGCTGCCATTAGGATACTCCTGAGCAGTTTATCCGTAGTAGTTACAGGTGGTTTAATGCCAGGGCCAGTCCCTGGCCACGCCAGCTTTGCTAACGGAGCCCCTGGGGGGTTGTTTCTGGTTTGCAGGACTGCGGGTTTTCAAGCATTGCACTGCAAATTCCAGCACGACGTGCGTGCCTTGCGTAGAGGGTACATATACAGATCATCCCAATGGTTTAGAACACTGCCGGAAATGTAAACTCTGTGATAAAGGTGAGGAGGATGCTACAGAACGAGTTTAAATGGATTTTTCATGCCTTCCGTGGATACATTCTCCCCTTCTCCTTTCTTGCCTCGTTTGCTTGATGAATTGGTTAGAGCATGAAGGACACAGAGGCTCCTGTCACAGTGCAGGCCTCAGAATGCTGTTGCTGGGGGCTGGATGGGAAAAACTGGCATGGATCTTCAGCTGCCACGGCTGGAAGTTTGATCTGCAGCCTCTCTCTGCACATTTGAAGGCTGCTGTAGATTGCAGCAGGTGTCTAAAGAGCTGTCTTGGAGTGCTGGGGTAAGGCAGGACAGAAAGAGCTCCTGGTGTCCTGCTCCACCAGGACAGCTTTTAAAAACATTTGAGTGGGGAGTGTCTTGCTTTTGCCATGCAACTCTTAGGACAGACTTAAATGTGACCCGAGACGTGTGTCTGTGAGGAACGGGGCGCTCTTTATAGGTCAGAAAAGGAGTTGTCTTCACTAATCCTGTTAGTTCTGGTGCTCTCCACCAGTGCATCGAGGCAAGGCTAAATGTTTGCTTTTGCTTTTGTATCTGTTGATTGTACCCCTGTAAATACGGTGGCTGTGCGTGTACATTTCTCTCAGGAGCCAACCTAGTGCCAGAAGTAGCATGTACCTATACGAAGAATACTGTGTGTGGCTGTCCACCTGAGTATTTCTGCAGTTATTTTGGGCCTGAAGACTGTGAACTTTGTCAACCCTACACCATCTGCTTTCCTGGCACTATGGTAAAAGAAAGGGGTAAGCCAACATAGCATCAGTAACACCAAAAGCAAAACTTTCTGACAGGGAACGCCTTCGGCGTTTGATTTTGAGGAGGCTGGGGGTCAGTTCGTGCAAGAGAAGGATCAGTGTGGATGAACAGGGCCAGCAGTGTGCAGCTGGAAGCTTGCAGGGTCCATGGAAGCGCTAGATGCTGAGGTCGTTGATGCGGCTGAGAATGCTTGTTTCCTGTCTGCAAAGACAGCAGTGTGTGAGCTTTGGGCTGTAGTGGAGATCTCTGCAGTCATCACGCGGCCATTTACAAAGACACTGCTGAACTGAAGTTTTCCCCAGCCACAGGTGCAGATAGAAATCCTGCTGCCTTCTCCCTTATAGGCACAAAGACCACTGACAATGTGTGTGAAGCCTGTCCTCCCGGAACCTCCTCAACAGCCAACATGTCTTACAGTTGTACCCCATGGCCCACGTAAGCAGCTCTTACTCGTTGTGAGCATGGGACTGTTCTCTGGAACTGTTGGGTCTGCATTTTGCTGGCTTTGAAAGAGCAGTTTCCTGCTTCCAGTAAGGCACTGAGTGAGGAATCCTGTTCTTGCATCCCACTCTTTCTTGGGAACAGCTTTCTAAACTCATTAACATGACGGATCTAGCCTTCAGCCTCTTGTCCTAACTTCTCACTGCACAGGAGACTCTCAGAGCTGGATCCAGACCCCTGAAGAGCAGTGCGCCCCTCTGGGTGCCTGGGTGTCAGCTGACACATCCCTTAGCTACAGTAACAGGGGAGAGTTTGCTTCTCAGGAGAATCAATTTGCATTTAGAGACATTAAAACAAAGAGGTAGAAGTCATTTCCTTACCCACCGAGTCAGGAGGAGTGCTGTGAATGCCCCTGGGTGTGGAGGAGTGATGTGGAAAGCAGGGCAGCATTTCCACTGCAAGGTCTGCTGACAGGTTCTAAGAACACAATTCTTTCTTTTCTCGCATCAGATGTGAGGAGAACTGCTGGGTACAAGGAGAGGACAGGAATCCGTCCTCACATTCCTCTGCTGCAGTAGTTGGTTACGTTGGAGGCGTGCTGTTAGTTGTTGCAGCTGGCCTGTGCCTTGCGTTTATCTGGCGCAGGAGGAAGAGTTACACACCACGTAAGTACAAATAGCATGTGTGCGAAGGGGTAGTTTTGTCCTAGTTAGTATTCTGAAGAACGGTCGTCTTCACCAGATGTTGAGCTGAAACCTTAACAGCCAGTTAGAGGTGAACTGTGAGGAAATTTCTGCTCTGTGTGTGTGCCACAGTCAGCCGGTTGTAATGAAGCCTCCTTGGGGGGGTGCCTGTGCCCAACCACACCTACACCCGTTTAAAAACAAGAGAACAGGATTAGAAAAACACACGAGTATAAAGTTCCCCTTACTGCGTTTTGATGGGACTGTTTCCTTTCCTTTGCAGCGGTGCAGGAGTCTGGGGTGAGTATCTCTTTGGTTTTTTCATAGTACGTTGAAATCTGAAGTAGGTTTTTTGTTTGGTGTCTGTATGTGCTGTGTGCTCGATGGGCCCAGTGCGGACTGGTGCAGCTTGGGGATCCTGGGAGTGTCTGGGAGTTCCAGAATCCCCAAGACTATGCAGTATAAACTCATTTTTTGTGATTCTTGTTGAGAGGCTTGGGATCTACTCCTAATGCCGTTGTTACCACCTGCCCTTGTCTAGGAGTTCATGTTTAAGGGGCTTTAGGAGATGGACTCCTACTAAAAGCCACATCTGTCTTAGTAACTGTGTTTTTCTCTCCATCCTACAGTATTACGTATCCCCTAAAGTTCCTGTTACTGGTACCTGTGCAGCCAGTGTCGTGTTTTATAGGAAAAACATGGCATGAACTGTATCATTTGCACTTTTGATTTGAGAGGGGCCCTAGAGTGACTCTCGCTCTTAAGGAAGAAGCAAAAGTCGAGCTGTTAGTAGTGAAAATAGCAGGCATTTGCTAATAAAGGCTGACTTTTCATACTCTGTGTTTTCCTTTGACATGTTTTAAAGATTGGACAGCAGGGTCAGGCTTTGATATTAACCGTGGAGAGTGGGGACCAAACAACTGTTGCTGTGCAGGAGACCGGTGCCGATCCTAAACAAACCGTGCGTGAATAGCCATTTTGGTTTGAACTGTTGTGGACAGTGGAGATGGTAAAATAAACCCAGAAAAACCACCACAGAAAAACCCACAAAACCCAAAACACCCCAACAAAAAAAGCCCAACCTTTTTTTTCCAAATATTCCTGGAGAAAAAGACAGCTTGAAAACGAGAAGGAGGATCTGCAAACGAGGTAAGGATGCCGAGTGGCATCTTCTGAAGTGTGGCAGTGAGAAAGAGCTGAGTGATCAAGGCGTTGCTCAGGGTTGTGAGAGGTTTCAGAGCTCCTTCCTTTTCCCTCCCCACTTTCCGGAGCTGTGGCCTGGGTGTGGTGTGCCTTTCCTTCTTACCAACCTGTACAGTTATCACTTGGTATGCATGGAATTATTCCAGGATATGTTTGTGGATATGAAAAACCATCACTTTTTTGTTTGAAGGTTTCCACATAACTAATACCTAACACATTTTCCAAATGTATTTTGGACAACCTTTTCCTTTTTAGAAGACAATATTGATGGAAAACAGCTTTTAGGAATCTCATGAATGTTGTGTACACAGTTACTGTCTTCTCCGAGTCACGCCTGCTCTCACCTGTGGTTGTGTTCTGACAGCAAAGGAAGTCAAGGCCCTGCGTGAACGTTATGTCTAGAAGTGAAGTTCTTACTATTGAAAACATGTTTTCTCTGTAAAAGAACTTTCCTGTTTCCTGAAGAAGGGAAGACACCGAGTTGCTTGGCTGTTGGCATTACCTTGAGGAAAAGCATTATTCTTAAAGAGCATTATGGTGGACGTAGATTCCCGCGGAAGGATTTGGTGAGGACAGCAATGCTTTATTTCGCAGCTGAGCCTGAGGGGAAGAACTGTCTATGAAATGAGATGTGGGAGATGGGGAGCGGCGTGGGAAGGCAGCGGGCCGGCGGGAGGAGGTGCTGGGGCTGGAGGAGTGAGCAGGTCCAGGTGGGCTGTGAAAGCGTGAGGAGCTGGTTCTGCACAGGGGAACCATCGGTGGGATGAGAGGGGGGGACATGGGACGTGCCTCTGCGTTTCCAGTTTGAATGACTAAGGAAGAGCAGAGGGATGTGGGAGACAGGAGAAGAGCTTGCAGTAACCAGCGCGGGGTTTTGCTGCGTTAATGCAGCCCCTCAACTCGTGTTCACCCAGGCCACGGCTCATGACTGTGAGGAATGGAAGAAAATAGGAAAAGGTTGTCTTTTCGCTTAGGGAAAATACAATGGACAACTTCTTCATTCTTTAAAAAAAACTATATTAGTTTGTTCAGCAGAATTAGGTCTGTATTTTTGTTTAAAAATAAGCTGACATTTCAGGAGAACATTACATTTTTTATAAGAATGGCCACAAGTAGCTGTACACAAGTACAGCTCTGTTGTAAAACCCATCTGCAAGCAATGGAATGTTAAAAATTTTAGAGAATGCTTTAAAATGACCTTTAAAATTTGTGCTGTATACATGCGGATCTGTCCATGAAGAAGTACCTTCTGTTAAAGTCTTGTGAATAAAAGTGTTGTGATTTTTAGTGGGTTTTTTAAAAGTACCAATAAAAGTCATGTTTACCATAACCTTTATGTTTCAGTAATTGCAGAAGGGCAAACTGTCTATAATTTGGTTTTACTCCCAGCTATTTTTATATGAAGAGTTATGCCCACAGTATTTGCAATCCCCATCTCGAAGCTCTGAACCTATCTGAAGTGAAAAGTGGTCCAGACTTCGATTCTTGCGCGTCGGCTGAGCGCCACACAAACGGAGCTTTAACAAACCCCGACTTTACCGCGCTTTTAGAATCGGTTTTACTTTCAGCAGTCAAATACACAACAAGTCAGCAAGGCAGTCCTAACCTGTCGTTCTGGAAATACCGGTGGCACCGAGGAAACGCGTTGCTGCTTTTTGTGTTTGCCGCTTTTGTGTCTGGTCTGATACAACTTGCTGGATGTGTCACCATGAGCAGTAAAGGAATGCACGGGGCAAGCGCTTTTTTTGTTTGGTTGTTTTTTTTTCCCCCGACCTTTTTTTCTCTAGATCTGTTCTTTGGGAGCGGGTTATTGTTTCCCGGGGTTGGAGGTTTTCCAACGTTTGGCTGCCTGTAGCATTTGCTAATTGTTAATCCCTGCTTGTTCCTCCACAATACTTGTGTATGAATTCCATTTGCTTAGTAAAAAGCTTTCCTGAGCAAACTTGCAAGATAAAACCAAACCCGAAATGGAGAGAGTTCGGAGAGCAGTGAGGAGGAAACCTCAGCCTGCTTTGTGCTGCGTGCCAGCCTTGGGGTAAGTCCTACCTTGATCTTTAAAGACCTGATTTTCCTGTCGAAGGCCGACTTCGGCAGCGGTGGCATCCTGCTTTTGCACCTGCACCAGTGACACGTGTGCCTTTGAACGGGCTTCAAATCTCGCAGCTTTGCCACTCCCAGTACTTCCTTCAGCTTCCAGGTAGCCGGTGTTACTCAGCCCCTCGCCGGCTGGCGCACGTTGTTCTCTTCCCGAAATGCGAATCGTGCGATGCGTTCCCGGGCAGTGACCCTTCTGGCGGGGTGCCTGGCGTTTTGGTGGGCACAGAGCTTGCTCTCAGGATGGAGGTGGTCAGGTTTTGAGGACTTCGTTGCTTTCGGCTTTGGCATAATCCAGACCTGTTAATTCTCGCCTGGGTTAATTGGTGTTTGTAAAGCACTTTGTAACCCTCAGTGGACAGGTGCTGGACACGCGTAAACCTTTTCTAGGTGCTGCGGGTGTGCTGACGGCTGCTGCTGGACTGTGGGTGTCTGGTGCCCCACAGCCTGTGTGATTTTTCAGTTACTGCATTGGCATACTCTGGATCTTAAATTATCCAGTATTACTTCTCTAAACAGCTGTGAAAGCAGACGAAGATCTTAAGGAGGAAGGGGAGTTAAATATTACCGTTGCTCAGTGTTGTTGTTCGCTGCTTTAATGGGGTGTTTAGGCAGCAATTCCTCCAAAGATGTTTTTGCAGAGAAGTATCAGTCCTCCAGCCCCATCATCATTAGATGATTGGAAGCCAGAGGTGCCTATCTAAGCCAGCACCAAAACTCTGCTGTTTTATTACTCTGGAGACCCAAGACCTGTGGGAAGAGGTAACCTATGATTAGAATTCTGGGGCCAACACCACAAAGAACATTTCATCTTGTATTTCCTCTTGGCTTGAGAAACAGAGTTTGTCCTGCTGAGCATTGGGAGGACCCTTTAAAAGGCACTGTCAGGCAGCTGGGCCCGGGTGGGAGCTCTTGGTTTCTGCGGTTGCAGTTGGAAGAAGATGCTGTAGGTAACCGGGGAGCTTTGCACCGTCAGGTAAGGAGATGGGATGCAGCATCAGACTAGGATCAGCGATCTACCAACTAAATAAACCTGGGGGGGGGGATGCCTGTCGTAGCAGCAATGTGTTTAATGTCTGCAGCAACTCGGTGTTTGATGCAGTCGGAAAAAAACCTCCTCATGTTTAGATGTGTCTTTTGGTCTGTTTTAGAAGTCGGAGCCCGATTTGTCACCAGGTGGCAGCATGGGAGAAGGAAAGGTTTCATTTTCCTCTCCTGGAAAAAACGCCCGAATGTTTCTTCTTTTCCCAAGTATGTAATAAAGCTGCTCTGATGCTTAATTACCTGCGAGTCTAAACCGGAATCAGATCTGCAGCAAAACACCTCTGGGTACAGGATTTTCCAGTAGGCTCAAGCATTTTCTGCAGGATCTGCTAATTTCTGTCCAGTTACATGTATTTGTCCATTATCTCAGTTATTGATTGTGGTGATCTGTCGTGATTGGGGGTGAGGGGTGTTAGAGGGGGCTAAAGTGGAGGCTGCTCATGTCTCGGAGACATACGAACGTACATTATGTGTCACTTGGCCTGGACGGTCGGTTTGGACAAAAGCAGTCCTGCGTGCGTGGCTGCCTGGCAGGTTGTGTTGCCTTGGGTGGGGCACGTGTGTGCATGGAGAACGCATCATGTCTGAAAGCTCTGCGGGGAGGGGTGAATGTGCATCTTGTTCCTTCCTGGAGAGCATAAACCCTGTTTTCAGTAGTGAAAGCTTTGGATTACTGGGAATTCCTTTAAAAAAATTATTACAGGACCTTGTTGCGGGGACGAACAGTTTCATTCTTACCCAACACTAAATACGTTATTTATTTGTGCAGGTGGAGAGAAAGATGGTGTTGTACAGGGCTCCCCAGGTGACTGTTCCATGGAAAATGACTGAAAAGTGACTGCAACTGCTGAAGAAATGGAGTATGAGACGTCAGGTAAGGGCAGGCATTGCTTGTAGCTGAACCTGCTGCCCTGATTTGAAGTGGGGAGACCAGCTGTCGCTTGGACCTCGCCTGAGCGTGGGACAAAGGATAAGCAGTGGCTTAGCCCGGCCAAGGGGCCTCTGCCCCTTCCAGAGGGAACCTGGTGCCACGTGGTGACCCAAGTGCAAAGCAACGGACCCTCTTTGCAAGGCACGATCTTAGTTTGAAAGTCCTCTGCTTTTGTCTCCTTGGTCACTCACTGATAGGTTAAGCTCAGTGAAACTCCGTTGCTGCCCCCGTTGCCTTGAATTTTCTCCTTGCGGCAGCTCCTCTTCTGAGGCCCTTGTGCGTGTGATTATGGAAAAGTAACGTAGCGGTGTCCTGGTTTCGGCTGGGATGGACAGGAGAAGTTGAAAAGTCCTTGATTTCTGAGCAACGACTAAACCCACCAGTCCGTTATCAACAACCTTCTCATATCAAATCCCATACCGAATCCAAACCACAGTGCTGTTCTAGCTAATAAGGAAGAAAAAAAAAAAAAAAAAGAATTCTCTTGCAGCCGAAACCAGGACAAGTGGTCAGCAGGGAGTGTGGTTGTCCCAGGCTCTCCCTTAGCTCTGCTCTCCCTTCAGGGCGGCCACTGGCCGCTCCGGTGGGGAAGGGGCTGGCGAGGGGAGGTGCGAATGCGGTGGGAGCCCGCAGGACACGCGTGGGACTAAGGGGAGGTTGTAGCTTGTGAGCTCGGGTTGTGCTGGCACAGACACAGCGTGGCAGATGGGAAGAGTCTTCTGCAGGTGGGGGGCGTGATAAACTTACATGAAAAAAGAAAGTAACTTCCATGTGGTGTAGTAATAACTCAGATAAAACCTCGCAGGCACGTTTTAATTATCCCTTTAGCAGTTGCGTGTGCCAGAACTTCTAATGGCACATCTCCAGAGCTTAATGATTTTGCAGAGTAGTTAAATTGTCAGCCACGTGCACCTCCTCCACCTGACCTCTGCGTGGCTGGGTGCTGGGTCCCTGCTTGGCACCCAGATGCCGCTGGCGCCTTCCCGAGCTCCCCCAGGTCGGCAGTGACTGCCTCGGGGCTACTGTCAGGCAGTTTCATAGTCCTTCTGCTGAGACTTCAGTGAGCAAATGGAAGAGGGTGAAATTCTCAGGGCCCAAACTCTCCTGCGAGTATGGCAACGAAGAACAATGACTTGTACTTACAGCCAGGCAGATCTGATTAACCCCGGGATCGTTTCTGCCATCTGTGGAGTACATGCTGAGTTCCGTAATCTTTGTAGCTGTTACAGTCCAGTTAAACCAGTTAATAACACCATGTTGCTGGTCACCACTTGGGTTGTCTTTCTTCCATAACCTCAGGCTTTAGTTCCCGTGTGTAACTCTGTGACCTGCCCGGTGAGCGAGGGGGATCGTGCTGGGCTGTGTGTCCTGCTCCCCAGCCTGAATGATTTCTGTATTTCTTACAGTGCAGCGAAGAGGTTGACATCTGGTAACAGAACACGGGAGCGTGAAGTATCTCAGCAGCCATGAAGCTGGCGAGGACTTTGTTCCGTTACTCCCGAGTCCTGTGCGGTAGCTGGGCCCCTGCAAATGTGAGTGTTACCTGTGGAAGATGCTGAGCCGGGTTCTGCCTTTGTGACGTTATTCACACTGGCAATCAATAGTTTGTGGTATTTCTTTTCTTCCCCTTTTTATATTGTCTCTTGGGTTTTACTTTAAAAAAGTTCCTCCTCAAGTTTGCTTCTTTTTTCTGATATTCTGCTGCTAAAAGATGTAGGGTACCTAATTTTTCGGTCCCCTAAAGAGGAATTCCGGTTGTAGTTTATCCTGAGGTACTGCTGCTGGCGGTTTAACAGATGAGTTAAACTACTGAATGGTGTAGTATTTGAAGTGTCACTTTCTTCTTAATAACCCTAGAATAAAAACATTTTCAGGATGGCAGGATAACTCCCTGAACTTGGTGTGAAATCTGTGGTTGTCAGGCTAATCTGGAGTGAACTGCCAGGATCCATCTGGGCAGGGGTGGCAGAAGGAACTGTCTCCCCTGGGGTCCTGGGACAACTCCTTTTTCTCAGTCTCTGTTATCCTGGTGTGGAGGAGGCAGATACTAAAGGCATCGCAGGCCAGGACACTGTTGGAGAGTCTCTTGCACCGTAAACACCCGACTCTGAAAGGCCTGCGAGGATGGAGGAAGCGAAAGCCCTCTGCCCAACTTGGCTTACTGGAAGTGCCATGTGAAAATACCAGTTACAGCAGGGAAAAGTTACTACCTGACCATGAAATTTAGCTTTATTGCATGCATGGCATCTGGCATGGAAGATCTGAGTAAGTGAGGAGGGACAAAAAGTCGTTAAATACAGTTTATTTCTCCTGCCACCACACACATCATTAAATAACAAAAGCTGGTTTGTCAGAGCACTTGACTGTCGTTACCAGTCAGTTAATGCTAAAAGAAATTAAAATACTTCCAACAGGAAACAATACTCAGATGATCTTTCTACGAACATCAGTTTTAGCCAGGTCCTGGACTGCCTTTAAGAGCTTTAAAGTCACTTGAGGGGAGCTTAATCCTCCTGTGGAGTATTGTAACTTTTTTTTTTTTTTTTAAGGTGTCTCAGAGCTTGTTAGTGCACTCTCCTATTCACCATGTAGTAGTTGTTCTTTTTTTTTAGTGTGGGTCAGTCCTAAGGTTTTCAGGAACTTTTATCTGTGAATCTGACAGTTCCCATCTGGAAAAAAAATATCCTTTCCCCCCACTTAATCCGTCTTCAGTCTGGATCTTTGTTGGAATTAATGTGGCCAAGTGCAGTTCTCCCCAGGTGACAGGCACAGCTGAAGTAAACACAAACCCCAACTCAGGTTGCAATCCCCAGAAGATGTTTGTAGCTACAGTCACCCGAGGCGCAGCGCAGAGGATTAGATGTGAAACACTTTTAACTGCGTCGACAGCCAAACTCTGTGCTTGGTGTAATATTTGTTTGCAGTCGGCAACTGCTGGTGGGTGCTGAACAGCCTGTTCTTAGTCTTTTGAAAAGAGATTTAAGGAATAAACTTGCAACTAAACCCTCTTACTATTTATTCTCCCTTCCGTACTTAACTCTTAAACTTTGAGGGGCACAGCAGAGTGGTTAATCCCTGAGCTAGCACCAGTTACCATCCAGGATTACTTTAAACTGTGTGTTCTCAGCTACAGTGAAAGCAGGGATTCATCTGCAGCCCGACTGCACTTCAGCAGGGAAAATCAATGCAAAAGTCAGGAGGGTTTCATTCAGTGGTGCAGCCAGCGCGTACTGCCAGCAGGCCAGAATCATTCCGTGGGTCATCTCTGGACCTGCTGCCCTGAAGTGGTTTTCATTCCCTTCCCTCTTGTTTAGGTAATTAAACCTTTTGCTAACGAGCAGTGTGATTTGGCACTTTGTAAGCTGAGCGCTCCTCCTTACCGTCTTGCTTTCTAGCGATTTCTCTGCATTTGCTGGAAGAGTATTTAAAATTCGCGGTGTAAGTGTTGGCAGTTTAAAATATTATCATTGTATCAGAATGCTTACGGGGGGGGGAAAGCCACCCAAAACTCTCTGGAGTAAAAAGCGTTGCTGAATTGGCTACTGTGATTTATTTTTTTTTTTATTAAAAATGAACACTTGTTACATTTTCAAATGTAAATACTGAAAAATGGCCTATGGCAAAATGAAAAGGCACAGGATTAAGAACAGCTTAACTGTTTCCATGGATACATGTTTGCTATTTGGCCAAAGTATTTTACGCACTTTCTACAAGAATAAGCATCGGTTTCAATATATCTCCGAAGGGAGGGACCCTGGAATTTTAACCACAGAATTTGCACTCTTAAATAAAAGGTGATCCTCTGATCCAGTACTAGCTCACTTTCAGGTCCTGTTACCGTTGTTCTTTGGAGCAGAGGAGCATCTCCGGACAAAAAGCGAACTCTTACAGCAAAGCAGCAATCGCGGCGCAGGTACACGGACAGCACGAGAGTTGAAACTAGTTCTAACCTGAATTTGGGAAGAACGCACCAGAAACTCAATCGGAATACTGGAAACCAGTTCACCGTAACACCTGAAACCAGTTTGCCGAGTCTCGGGTGTAGCTGTAAGACGTATTAAAATTATTGTTCCTTTCTGAAAAATAGATATATCGTCGTTTGTTGGTTTTGTTTTTTATTTAAGTCTTTGTAACCCTGATGCAGTGTCACAGTAACAGTCAGGATGTCGTTTGAACAGTCGCTGGTGTCCCGGAGCCGTCGCGGCTCCGGCACAGCCCGAGGTGGCTGCGGGGCCCCGTCCCGTCCCGTCGGCTCCCGCTGCACCGTCAGCCCAGGCCGCGCCCCGTGGCAGGACCCGGGC